TCCCACTCCTAACCCACCGAGACGCCGCAGCATGATACCGTGGTCTACAGTATCAAAAGCCGCTGAGAGGTCCAAAAGAACAAGGACAGAGGAGTAACCTCTGTCCCGGGCCCTCCAGAGATCGTTAACCAACGCGACCAATGCCGTTTCCGTGCTGTGTCCCGGCCTGAAGCCCGACTGGTATGGGTCTAGATAGATACCTTAATGCAGGCCTTCCATATAAAAGTCAGGTGCTATCTGTGGGATGATGAGGCATATTTGCCTCCATCCATTCTGTAATGTTGTCTGATCCTAAAGGTAAATAGTAATCTAGTCCTTGAAGCAATTTAATAGAATAACAAGAGTTGGAAGGGACCTTGGAGGTCTTCTAGTCCAACTCCCTGCTCAAGCAGGAGACCCTAAACCAAGGGTAGGCAACCTTGGCTCTTTTATGACTCGTGGACTGGCTCAGGAATTCTGGGAGTTGAATTCCACGGGTCATAAAAGAGCCAAGGTTGCCTACCCTTGCCCTATACCAGTGATGGCGAACCTTTTAGAGACCGAGTGCCCAAACTGCAACCCCAAACCCATTTATGCATTGTCGGGTGCCGGGTGGGTGTGGCCCATTGGCTGGGCGTGGCCCATTGGATGGGTATGGCTGCAGTGGTAACGGCAGACTGGGTGGGACTAAAAAGTTCAATCAATCAATTCCAACTTTCCAAGATCTTTATTTTTTTCAGCGAGAAGTTGAAATTGACTCATTGATTGACCCTTTTTTTTTTTGCACACGGCGGCGGAGGCCTAAAGCGAAAAGGTTTTATAAAACCCAGCTGAAGGCCTAGGACTGGGGCGATGGCACGCGTGCCCACAGAGAGGGCTCTGAGTGCCGCCTCTGGCACCCGTGCCATAGGTTCGCCACCACTGCCCTAAACCATTCCAGACAAGTGACTGTCCAGTCTCTTCTTAAAAGCCTCCGATGTTGGAGCATTCACAACTTCTGGAGGCAAGGAGTTCCCCTGGTTAATTGTTCTGTTAGGAAATTCCTCCTTAGTTCCAAATTGCTTTTCTTCTTGATTAGTTTCCATCTGTTACTTGTCCTGCCTTCAGGTGTTTTGGAGAACAGGTTGACCCCATGTCTGCATGTAGTAATGGGATTAAAGTTAACTCGATTAGGGTCAGCCTAAAAGCAAATTGTTCCCTCTTTTCCCCCACCAGTTACCTGCCAGTCACCACAGAGAACATTGAGGTGAAGGAAGAAAATGCAACTGTGGTGGACTTTTCCTTGCATCCCACCGTCACAGGGTTGACTTCCAGCCCTACCACCAAAGAAGCTCTGGTAACTGCCAACAACTCTCTTGCGGATGCAGCAACCACCACTGCCGTCAACAGATCAACCGCTGCTCGCCAGGTGATCCAGCCGGATGATTTTCGCCATCACCACTTCCCTGATATGGGTATCTTTCTGAGGAAATACGCCACTGAGTACCCCAACATTACCCGACTCTACTCGGTAGGCAAGTCCGTGGAACAAAGGGAGTTGTATGCGATGGAGATATCAGATAACCCAGGCATTCACGAAGCAGGTAATCTCCCATTATATATTTTTGTTGCATGATCTAGATCCGGGCTTTTCAATCTTTTCACCCATTGTGCCACTTTTAGGATATGGCAACATCCGAGGACCACCAGTCGCCTAGCAAGGTGTCAAAAACTTGATGCCCCCCCCCCCAAAAAAAGGAAAAAAGTGATGAAGTACAGGTAGTCCTCGACTTACAGCAGTTCGCTTAGTGACTGTTCAAAGTTACAATGGCCCTGAAAAAAGTGCCCCCCAAGCCACAGCCGAGCAAGACACCTGCCTGCCCGCCCGGTGGCGCTCTTCCTCCTGTCTGAGGTTTCTATTATTGTGAGCATTTCTGTTGAGGATTGGCGGTGGGGTGGGGGGTGTTTGGTTTTTATTCCCCCCCCCCCATCTGCTGGGTGGTTGCAGCAGGTTTTGGTCACTTCACATGACCCTGGGACACTGTGACCGTCATAAATATGAATCGGTTGCCAAGCATCTGAATGTAAATCACAAGACCCTGGAGAGGCTGCAACATTCCAGCTGATCGGCACTTCTTCAAGGCTCAGCAGAAGTGCCAGGATCAGTGCCGAGCTCCAGCTGGATCCTGGCGCTGATCCTGGCGCTTCCACTGAGCCCTGATAGCCCCGAAGAAGCACCGATCAGCTGGAAAGCGGCACTGATCCTGGGGCTTCCACTGAGCCCTGACAGCCCTGCAGCTCCAGCCGTCTCTCGCTCAGGCTTGTGCGGTGCTACCACCAGTTCAGCTCATTCCCCTTCCCCACTACTTCTCTAGGATGTTTGCGTACCACCTGCCAGGTGCCAATGTACCACAGGTGGTACCCGTACCATTGGTTGAAATGCCCTGATCTAGATCAGGAGTCCCCAACCCCTGGTCCGTGGACCAGTGCCAGGCCGCAGCATGCCAGCAACCGGTCTGCACAAAAAAAGCAAAGCCCCATCCACGGGATGCAAGCAGCACACAAAACCACACATTCTCCAGTCTGCGGAAAAACCTTTCTCCATGGAACCGGTCCCTCATGCCCAAAAGGTTGGGGACCTCTGATCTAGATTCTAGTATTTTGAAAAATGGGAAAATATTTCTCCCTAGTTTTATGAATTTTGAATAGGTTCTGTTAACTTGAGTTACCGTTTTTTAAAGGTCGAAAGATCAATGTCCTGTAATCTTTCCTCTTAAACGAGTTGGTCCAATTTTAATTATTTTTTTTAATATATTTGCTCTGAAATAGCCATTTTTAATTGCGGTGATCAGGGGCAACTACATGCAATAATTATTGTATGGTGATACCATTGTAGAATATTACGATTTTGGCAGTTTTAATTCTGCTCCTGTAATTAGCAGGTGGAGAGGAATTTTTCAGAGTTCTTCGTTGCATATTTTTGTTTTTACTACATTACATTTTTAATATGTTTTTCTACCAAGTTAATTTTGTAAGTGGGATAGGAGAGTAACANCAACTACATGCAATAATTATTGTATGGTGATACCATTGTAGAATATTACGATTTTGGCAGTTTTAATTCTGCTCCTGTAATTAGCAGGTGGAGAGGAATTTTTCAGAGTTCTTCGTTGCATATTTTTGTTTTTACTACATTACATTTTTAATATGTTTTTCTACCAAGTTAATTTTGTAAGTGGGATAGGAGAGTAACAACATTTGAAATGTTTCTTTTGCAAACCTGAGGAAGAACTTCCTGAAGTAACAAAATGTCTAAATGCTGATAAGTTTAAAATAATCATTTTTAAGGCCAGGTTAATTGAATTTTAGCTTGAATCTTTAGTTTAAATCTTGACATTTTGTCAATAATTTCAAATGTAGTTTTTACTAAAGAGTCTTGTTTAGGCCAAATGAGTTTTTACTTCCTAAGTTTATGTTCATTGTAAGTTCATTATAGACCATTTGTTTGGACCTAAATAAAGCAAAAAAGCAATTTTTATTATTTTTGTTAATTGCAAAATATTACAGTTCCAAAGCATTACAGTAGATATGTATGTATTTATAAGGTACTTATTTATAAATCTGAATGTTGTCTAATTGTCTTGTATAGCTTGTGGCATGAGCAGAGCTTGGATTCATTGGTGGATGGCAGATGGTGTTTTTCAGTTCATGTTTAGAAACTAAACAGGGAGAGAGAGAACTGAAATCTCCCTCCCCCCCTCCCTCCCTGTATGTTCATGTTGGCATGTGTGCTTTGATCTACCTCAGCTTCTACATGTGATCATATATAGCACCATGTCAAACACAAGGCCCGGGGGCCAGATGCGGCCCGCGAAGTGGTTGCATGTGGCCCACAAAGCCATCCTGGAAACAGTGAGGGAACGGCCCCTGCTGCCTTGGCCCTGGCCCAGGCCGGCCGGGAGCCAATGTACAATGTTGTGGTGGCCATCTATGCTGAAACACATTCAGTCTTAGCTCCACAAGGCCGTCTGGAAACAGCCAGGAACCAGCCTCTGCCACGTCGGCCCCACCCCCTGGGTGCATGCTGGGGAGGGATCACCCTTTGTGAGGAATGAAGAAATGGACCATGCCTTGGCGCTTGCCCCGGTCCCACCCCCTTCTGCCAGAGACCCCCAGATCTGTCCCACTCCTGCCCAGGCCCCCATAGGCACCCTTGACGCGAACGATGTAGAGCTGGCCATGCCCACCCAGTAGGCCACACCCACTCCATCCACGCCCACCCAGTAGGCCCCCCCCAAGAGCAACCGCAGTGCTGATGCGGCCCTCAATGAAATTGAGTTTGACACCCCTGATATATAGACAGACTGCTAAATGCATCGGCTAAACTGCGCGTCTCTGTTCCCCATCCAGGTGAACCGGAATTCAAGTATATTGCCAACATGCATGGCAACGAAGTAGTGGGAAGGGAACTGCTCCTCAATCTCATAGAGTATCTCTGCAAGAACTATGGAACGGATCCCGAAGTGACTGACCTGATCCAAAATGTTCGGATACATATCATGCCGTCCATGAACCCCGATGGCTATGAAAAATCTGTGGAAGGTAGTCTTGCGTGCCAACTTTTTTCTGACACGTCTAGTAAAAGGCGTTGGGCAAGGAAGGGTGGCGGTTTCATAAGGCACACCGCTCCAGCTTTTTCTCACATGTGACTCAACTTTAACTGTAATGTATGTAACGAGGCCTCTCTCTTTTCTGTGTTTTAGCCCAGAATTTCTTCTTTGCCTTGACTCAGTCTCTGTTCCTGTTTCCTAACTTTTCTCTATTATACTTCATTTATCTCATATTACAGAAGTAAGGACTTTCTCGAGCTTAGCTTGACACTGTGTGGTCATTTTCATGTATTTTTTGCCAGCAACGGTGCCGTTGATCTTTTCTGAGACTTTCTCTTTTACTTCCTGGCTTCTAGTGTTCGGACTCTGATCCTGGTGATACCAGACCTCATAGTCTTATATGTCAAAACCTGCACTTTAAATTGCATGTGAAGGTCTGTCAGGAGTCAGTGCAGGGCCACTAAGACAAATCTAATAGCTTGCCAGTGATGGATGCCGGTTAACTTTTGGGCTGTTGCATTCTGGATCAAATGCAATTTTCAAGTGCATTTAGTGCTGTGCCATGTAAAGCACACTGCAGTAGTTTAAGGAAGTGGTGATTATAGAGAGTCTGTGGGTACCAGGCATTTTACATTAAGCAATATACTATCCTGTTTTCATGGTTTAACTTAGCAAAGCACTAGAGAAAGGAAATGAAAGTTTACATCAGCCCAGCCCACCCAGGCGGGCATGGAAGGTATATTGTGGACCCCGTCAGCTAAAGAATTTCAATTGGCAGGGTCCAGAAAGAAGATCTTCTCTGCTGTTGCCCCCACCCTGTGGAACAGCCTTTTCCCCAAGAAGAGGCAGGCCCCCACTTTCCTGGCCTTCCAAAAAGGCATAAAAGCATGGCTTTATGGCCTTGCTTGGGGTTCACAGGGAAGCATGGAGATGTGGGACTGATTAACGCCCGGAGGGCCCTCCCTCTGCCTTTTAATTAACTTTTTAATTTGAATGTTAATTACTTTTGCCTCTTTTAATTTTTATATACATTTTGTTTTATGTTTTCACACCTTAGAATAGAATAACAGAGTTGGAAGGGACCTTATAGTTCATCTAGTCCAACCCCCTGCCCAAACAGAAGTCCCTACACCAGGGATAGGCAATCTTTTATGACTCGTGGACTTCAGCTCCCAGAATTCCCGAGCCAGCCATGCTGAGGAGAAAGGGAGAGGTTTCCAAGCTGCGCCATGCTGGCTCAGGAATTCTGGGAGTTGAAGTCCACAAGTCATGAAGGGGGCCATAGTTCCCCCATGCTGGCTGAGGAATTCTGGGAGTTGAAGTCCACAAGCCATGAAGGGGGCCATAGTTCCCCCATGCTGGCTGAGGAATTCTGGGAGTTGAAGTCCACGAGTCATAATAGAGCCAAGGTTGCCTACCCCTGCCCTATACCATTTGACAGATGGTAGTCTTTATTTGTACACTGCCCAGAGTCCCTGTGTGAAGGAGATGGGCATTTTCAAAATTTGATAAATAAGATTTTATCAGGAATTTAAATAGCTGAATGGAAGTCGTCTTTAAATTTTAGTTCGCTGATTGACTTCTAAGGAGTAACCTTGAATGCAGCCCTATAACAATGGAGGATTGGTTATAAGCAATAAATTAAAAAAAAGAGTTGGCAGGTATAATCTTACTTATTAAATCTATAATAGCTACCCATCTCATGAATTTGATTCTGCAGTGTAAAATAACATCTTAAAATAGCCATAAAAACAGGAAACATGTATATAACTTGGGACAATGTTGAAAAACTCAGACATAATAGACCGGGGGTTTTCCAACTTGGCCCTTTTATGACTTGTGGACTTCAACTCCCAGAATTCCTCAGTCAGTGTGCCTAGCTGAGGAATTCTGGGAGTTGAAGTCCACAAGTCATCAAAGGGCCCAGTTGGAAGACCCCTGTCTTAAAGCATCCTGGCTGAGGAATTCTGGGAGTTGAAGTCCACAAGTCATCAAAGGGCCAAGTTGGAAGACCCCTGTCTTAAAGCATCCTGGCTGAGGAATTCTGGGAGTTGAAGTCCACAAGTCATCAAAGGGCCAAGTTGGAAGACCCCTGTAATAGACCCATCTCTGAGGGGTCCTTGGTGCTCTCTGAGCTTGCTGATCTGACACATAGACACAGTAGACAGACATTAACAACATTTATAGATTATACAAGAGACAATCCATCAGCCCAAAAGAGAAAAAGACTCCAGCACCTCTCCACCAGTAACCAGCACTCAGATCAGCATAGATAGATTAACTCCAAGATCACCTTCAGACCTTCAATCAAGAAACTGCCAAACAGTAAACAGCCCAACCAGAGAATCCCTAAGACTGCCCCCACCCACCCAGACAGGCAAGACACCAGAATATGTAAAGTGACAGCAAACAGCACTCCTTACTACCACTGATGATGTTACCTAGTTGGGTAATGGAAGACCAGTTGTCGGCCGTGACCAGGGGGGCGTTTTATCAGGTTCGCCTGATTTACCAGTTGCGCCCTTTTCTGGACCGGGACGCTTTACGCACAGTCACTCAAGCCCTCGTCACCTCCCGCCTGGACTACTGTAATGCTCTATACATGGGGCTCCCCATGAGGAGCATACGGAGGCTTCAGCTGGTCCAGAATGCGGCCGCGCAGGCGGTGTTGGGAGCGACGCGTCGCTCCCATGTAACGCCGCTGCTGCGCGAGCTGCACTGGTTGCCAGTGGCCTTCCGGGTGCGCTTTAAGGTGTTAGTTACCACCTTTAAAGCGCTCCATGGCATCGGACCTGGNTCAGCAAGCGGGTCTGACCTAGGGTGAATTTTAAATAGGGACAATTTTAAGGATTTTATCAAGACACAGCGACAAATATTTGGTTTTTAATTGGCTTTTAGAGGGGAAATGTTTTATATTGTTTTAACATGCTGTGAGCCGCCCTGAGTCCCATGGGGAGAAGGGCGGCATATAAGTTGTGATAAATAAATAAATAAAAATGAAACGTCTGCAAGAAAACAAGCAAGCTCAGAGAGCACCAAGGACCCCTCATGTCAACCCTGAGCTACAAATATTCTCCTTCATTGGGACCCATCTCTGTTCTCGAGGGATCCAAGGCCTGTTGGGGACACCATGTCTTAAGATGTCTCTGGATGGCCAGTTGGATCAGACCAAATTTTGCCTCAGGGCTCCTGATGTGCCACAGCAGAAAAGGCTGCCTCCCATCGCGTGGCACTCCTGAGCAGAGGAGACCCACACAATGCTCTTCCTGCCTGGCCTGATGGGAATCCTGCGTGATTCACGCAGTTTATACGCAGGAGCAAATAAATAGCAGGGTTAGAAAAATGGGTTAGTGTCCAAGGGTGCTTTTCCAAAAGGCAACTGGATTTTCTTGGTTCTTTTCCTTGAAAATGTTTTGCATAATAATAATAATAATAATAATAATAATAATAATAATAATAATAATAATAATAATAATAATAATAATAAAAATAGTAATAGTAATAGTAATAGAAGAAGAATAAAGTTGGAAGGGACCTTGGAGGTCATCTAGTCCAACCCCCTGGTCAGGCAGGAAACCCTATACCAAGGGTAGGCAACCTTGGCTCTTTTATGATTGGTGGACTTCAACTCCCAGAATTCCTGAGCCAGCATGGGGGAAACTATGGCTCCTTTATGACTTGTGGACTTCAACTCCCAGAATTCCTGAGCCAGCACGGCTCAGCTTGGAAATTTCTCCCTTCCCCCTCAGCATGGGAATTCTGGGAGTTGAAGTCCATGAGTCATAAAAGAGCCAAGGTTGCCAACCCCTGCCCTATACCATTTCGGACAAATGGCTGTCCAGCCTCTTCTTAAAAACTTCAAGTGTTGGAGCATTCATAGCTTCTGGAGGCAAGGAGTTCCGCTGGCTAATTGTTCTAATTATCAGGAAGTTTCTCCTTAGTTCTAGGTTGCTTCTCTCCTGGGTTAGTTTCCTGGGTTAGTTGCTTCTTGTCCTGCCTTCAGGCGCTTTGGAGAATAGCTTGACTCCCTCTGAGAGATTGGAAGGCTGCTATCATGTCCCCCTCATCTTTCTCAACCAAGAAGCTTCTTCAGTTCTTCTCCTCCTCCTCCTTCTTCTCCTTCCTCTTCCTCTTCCTCTTCCTCTTCTTCTCTGAAGAAGCTTTTTGGATGAGAATCAAAATGTTTTTCAAGGGAAAAAAACCCCCAGAAAATCCAGTTGCCTTTTGGAAAAGAAACTGAAGAAGCTTCTTGGGTGAGAAGCGAAACATGTTCAAGGAAAAAAAACAACACAAGAAAGTCTAATTGCTTTTTGAACAGCACCTTTGGGACAACCATGACCTGGATGATTAAGAATCTCCATAGAAAAGAAGGCTTAGTATTTATTAGTATTGTTGTTGTCATGTCCGAGCCATCGGGACCCCATGGACAACGTTCCTCCAGGCCTTCCTGTCCTCTACCATCTTCTGGAGTCCCTTTAAGCTCCTGCCTCCTGCTTCAGTGACTCCATCCAGCCACCTCATTCTCTGTCGTCCCCTTCTTCTCTTGCCCTCCATCTTTCCCAGCATCAGGCTCTTCTCCAGGGAGTCCTTCCTTCTCCTTAGGTGGCCAACGTACTTGAGTTTCAACTTCAGGATCTGGCCTTCTAAGAAGCAGTCAGGGTTGATCTCCTCTAGGACTGACCGGTTGGATCGCCTTGCAGTCCAGGGGACTCACAGGAGTCTTCTCTCTTATTAGTGTAAGAGCCATGAAATAGGGGCTGTGAAAAAATGAAAACAATGAAAGTCGAGCTTCATTCATGAAAGAAAGACCGAATTTGGCAAGTCTGTATTTATTTAGCAAGCCACAACTTGGTGTGTGAACGGTAGCTTGTTTGGCTACACCTTGAATTCTTTCTAAAGAAGGATTTTTTTCCCCAAACAATGTTGGATTAGTATGAATGTTTACAATGGCTTGGGGCCAAGGTATATGGCAATAACAGCTGCCTCATGAGCAACCATGTGTGGTTTTCCATACAGTTAGGTAGATCTCTACAAGCAGAACTTTTTAAAGTTTTTGAGATGAATAAAGTGTTTGGGCGCAGTTTTCATTTCTAACTTGATGGTTATACAATCTCTTAAGACTTGATAAAGGAGAATTACAGGGGGAAAAAAATGTCTCTTGCTTTGCCCTTTTGGAGGGCAAATTCCGTGTGCAGAAAAGGATAAATATTGATAATGGCCGAAAAGCACAGATGGTTCAACCAAGCTCTGTTCTGTTTCTCAGGAGACGTGTCGGGGATTTTTGGAAGAAACAACAGCAACAACTACGATCTGAACCGGAACTTCCCAGATCAGTTTGTCCAAATTGCCGACCCCCTGCAGCCGGAGACCATAGCTGTTATGAACTGGCTGAAGACCTACCCCTTTGTGCTCTCCGCCAATTTACACGGAGGTAAGAGGAATGCAGACCGGCTGGTCTGGAAATGTACAGCACTTTTATTCTAGACCAGTGTTTCTCAACCTTGACAATTTTAAGGCATGTGGATTTCAACTACCCAGAATTCCACAGCCAGCATTGCTGGCTGTGGAATTCTGGGAGTTGAAGTCCACATGCCTTAAAATTGTCAAGGTTGAGAAACACTGTAGACACAGTTGAGCCCAAGGCCTCACTGCACGAAAACTTAACCAATGCATGGAAAGGGTTTTCATTATATACTTTTATCTGAGAATAGTTTACAGGTTAGGATTTCTGGCCAAGATCATCCAAAAGAGAGCCTGTACATTAAAAAAAAGGAATTTGTATTCAGCACATGTGTTCTTATTAGGGTGACTTTGAAAATGATTAGAGTTGCATTGAAAAGAATGCCGTGTGAATTACTCGCTTGATTTGTTTGTCCAACTTATTCTTAAATTTATATACCCCTCCCCCTTGCTGTCCGAAGTGACTTTGGGCGGCTTAAAAATGTAATCAGATTAAATTGTCTTAAATTTGTTAAAACAGTTTTGTCTTTTCCCCCCAGATTTCTGGAAGCTTGGAAAAAAACAAAAAGACATGCCTGTTTTAATAAGTAGCCCATAGGTCAGTGATGGCAGACTTTTTAGAGACCGAGTACCCAAACTGCAACCCAAAACCCACTTACGCATCGTCGAGTGCCGGGTGGGTGTGGCCAATTGGGTGGGTGTGGCCAATTGGGTGGGCGTGGCTGCAGTGGTAACAGTAGACTGGCTGGGACTAAAAAGTTCAATAAATCAATTCCAACTTTGCAAGATCTTTTTTTTTCCCACGAGAAGTTGAAATTGACTGATTGAACCTTTTTTCTTTTTTTTTTTGCACACGACGGCAGAGGCCTAAAGCGAAAAGGTTTTATAAAACCCATCTGAAGGCCTAGGACTGGGGCGACGGCGCACGTGCCCACAGAGAGGGCTCTGAGTGCCGCCTCTGGCACCCGTGCCATAGGTTCGCCACCACTGCCATAGGTGTTGTGCTTGCATGGGGTCCAAAGAACTTCAGAATCACTTTTTAAAGTATGCACAACCCTGGTTTTGTTGTGTTGCTCTTCTGAAAGGTCTAGTTTCCCCTTTGGTTGGAGGGGGGCTTGATGAGTACATTTCCTCTGTCCTGGCTCTTGATTTTTAAGAACAAGTAGCACGCAGGTGCTCCCTTGCCGCATCTTGTTGCATTCCCCTTGGTGGATTCTACTCATTGTTATCTTTATTTACCTGGATTAGTTTTGTGGCTAGTTGCGAAATCTAGGCAAATAGTAGTATTCTTGACTGTGAAGGTGAAACAACAGCCTTTTATGTTACGATTAATTTACTTGGAGTGATAAAATCCTGAAAGCTATTTTTCCCCCCCTTTGCAGGATCTCTGGTGGTTAACTACCCCTTTGATGACGATCGGCTAGGAGTTGCCACCTATAGTAAATCCCCTGATGATGCTGTTTTTCAGCAGCTAGCTCTTACCTATGCTAAGGTAACAATTATTGGAAGGTGTCTCCAGTGGATCCTGGAACCTCTGAGATCCACTAGCTTACATATCATACATGCTTATATATTGTGATGTGTGGATTGTGATTCCTGGGGGGTGGGGTTGTTACAAGGAACTTAAGTTACATTTTTTTAAAGCTGTCAGGCTTGCACAGACAAAGAGCAATTATATAGCTCATGGTATGTATAAAGCATCCACAGTAAGGTACATACAAGAATTAAAAGACAATTCAACTAAAATTTAGCAGTACATAATGGCACAATAGTGCAATGGCGTTACCATTGGACTATTGTTAGTTGTAAGTTGTTAGAAAAGCCTTCTGGAAGATATCTTTGTTTTAAATTTCTACCCGTTTGAGATTATTATTTATTATTAAATTTATTTGCCGCCCTTCTCACCCCAAGGTGACTCTGGGAAAGATTCTGTTGGATAACAGAGTAGCAAAAGTGACCCATTTTAGCCATATAAATTGGGCATATATGATATTTACTATGGTGGGGATTATAGTAATATTGTATATTTATTATGCCCTTTGCTGCTTTTTGTTTTTTGTTTATATTCATTACTAGGAGCCTTTGCTAATTACTGCAATGTGTAAAATAATATTAATAGACTCGAGAATGTGATGAAAAGTGTGTCTTTCGTAAATGATATGTTTATTTTTCCCCAGCCCTAATTGCAAAGAAATCGTTTGTTTTATTCAGTGTGGGGTTGGAGAGTTTCACACAAATTCGTTAAATCTTTACGGAGTTCACAGTATCACAAAGTTTAAGGACTCCTGCACTAAATCATAATGGAATATGCTTGTGTGACATGATATGTCAACTTAGCCAAGGTTCATAGCAGTGAACAACTTTTTTTCAGTTTGACTTTTGTGGAGGCCATATGCCCCCCCAAAAAGAGAGAGAGAGAGTAAAGAAGTAGGTATGGCTAGCGCCTTAAATAGATTTAAATTAATTCAATTCAAATTACATTGGATCAGTTAAATACAGTTTCTCTTGTCACTTCAAAGAAAAAATAAGAATTTTCTGGCAATTTCTGAGAGGATTGTGCCGATAACATTTTGTGAGTCTGCACGTGGCCTTGTGGAATAAATTTTACTCCTCTGGTTTATGACTTAATGTCATTCTGAAACCGGCCGCTTTAATTATTTTATAAATCCAGAAATGATAGTGTACTGTAAAGAGGAGTGTAAATCCAACAACTGACCAGGGGACCCTAGAAGATTTAATGCAAAATGTTTGGAAGGCACTAAAGTTCCAAAAAATGGAATTGTTAATTGCACATATAAGAGTGTAACAAGAGGACCTGCTCAAAGTATCTGGAGAGAAATAGTAGAACAATGTGATCCGAATAAACTCAAGTCAGCACTTTCAATAGTTGTGGGCGACATTATTTTTAGTTTTGCTTATTTCAGCAAAAAAAAAAAAAAAATGCAGGTCCTTGTTATCTTGATTGTAGTTCCTACTAGGTTTTCTTCTGTTACATTTGCATCAAAGAGACTGGTACCCTGGATTAACGTTGGGATAAATAGGTAGTGATTTTTTTTTACATATTTTGATTTTCCAGTACCATCCACAGGAATAAAAATGTAGTTTAGAGTTGATTGTATACACACTACTTACTTGTACCCTGCTTAGAGTGGAAGCTGAAAAGTGATATTAAAAAAATCCATAGTGGTGTAAGACTTGAGGTTTTTCCAATCTGAATTTAAGAATGTATAAACTTATCCGTGTCTCTTTGGGGTCAAGGTGAACTGCTGGTGACGTCATGTCCCATGTTGTTTTCCATGAGTGCCTGACCTTTTTCATCTGGCATGTTTCAACAACTAGCTGAAAAAAGACCTAGGATTTCCTGTTGTCCCCCTTCCAAGTGCTAAACAGGTTCATCCTGCTTAGCTTCATAAAGTCACATGAGATCACGAGGAACTTCACCTCCCTGTGATCTGTTATATCAGGCATGGATTAAACGAAAACTCTTTTCACAAAAAGTTTCTCTGCGATTTCAAGCGTAACATAAGAATCAACGGCCTGAACTCGAATTCATATTCTGCTCTTTCAGGAGAACGCGCAAATGTTCCAGGGCCACCCGTGCGACAACCTATATCCTGATGAATATTTTCCTCGTGGCATCACTAACGGAGCGAATTGGTATAACGTTCCAGGTAAAGCATTAAATGCTGGAGACGTTTGTGTGTGTGGGGGGGGGGCGGGCGACAACACCTGTGGGCCTTTTGTGTGAAAATAAGATCCTAAATCCCCCCTTCAGGTTGTTCTGGGTTTCTCAAAATGAGAACTTTTCCTTGTAAGCCAGCCACGATGTTTTCTAGGACTGTGAAAAACATTTTTTTTTTTAAAAAAGCCTTATTTTAACATCAAAACAATTTTGACTTTGGGATTGAGAGTTTTGAACTTGGAACACTTTATTTCAACGGTTTGGCCCACCACAAATGTCGTTTGCTTGTTATGCGGGAATGAAATCCTGGTTTACACGATGTACCAATTACAAGTCAGTGTTTAATGAGGAAACTGCGCAATGTTCCAACTGCGTTCCCCTGAGTTCCATTTAAAAAAATAAATAAATACTGCCTCCTACTGCTAAGCACGGGTGTTTAAGAAAACAGTTCTGTACTCCAGTTGGCATTTTAGTGGGTTTTTTTAGTCCTTTTTCTATTTAAAGTTTGCTCTTACTTCACATGACTTTTATTCGTTTCTATTTATATAAAAGAAGCAGTGCTTTTTTTAAAGCAATATGTATAGTTGAAAATGATTCTGCTTAATAATAATAATAATAATACCAATTTATTTATTTATTTATTTATTAATTGCATTTATATCCCGCCCTTCTCCTTACGGACTCAGGGCGGCTGACAATTGAATAAAATACTAACATATATACATATACTTAATTAAAATTTGATTAAAACGAAATATTTAAATATGTCCAATTTAAAAGTAATTAAAACCCCCTTTAAAATCCCTCAGGCCAGTCCCGC